GTGTTCCTCTAAAGACCGCGGAAATACATGCCTGAGCCTCCTGATCACTAAACAGGCATATTTTCCTTCACACCAGAAAATTAGGGAGGGAATTCCTTCACGGGTCGAGATCAAATCGTGACGGCGTGTTTGCCAGCTTCGCCTCAATCGAGATAACGCACTCCATAAAGACATACGATTTCCTCAGAAATTCAGCTTCCCTACGTTGTTACTTCTACCTACTTGGCATCTCCATTGGTGAGGATACCATCACACTTTCGCCACTAACCCCTGCACTTGCCCACACTCTGTTGGCCAAAGCGCAATCTCTTTGCTCGGAATCTTCTCAACGAAGGGCTGTTCGGGGTTATACTCCAGGAAAGTTTCTTTTCAGACCACATTCAGATAGCCCCAAAAATTTCGTGCCATTGGAAAATTTTAGCGTTACAATCAGTAAAGCCAATGTTGGTCTTCATGAAACCTTGTCATTATTTATCACTGTCAACCTTGTTACTCGTCCAGAAATACTCACCAGTTTACAAATTGCCGAAGTATAGTCGCAAATAGTGATGGAAATATGAGTTTGAAGTCGATTCGCCCATGTAGCAACTAACAACTCGTCATCTCCCATCTTGATCCACTTCACGCCGTAAAGATAGTGGAATGCCTCTAATTAATTCAGTTAGTTTGCTGTTTGTCGGCAAATTTTGATCACCTCCAGTGAATATGAAAAACACTTGAGCTGTATGGACATTTCAGAAACCTTGTTGGGCCGGTGATCTATGTATATAGCATTACCATCCCCGCGGCGCTATCGGCGCGGTACGCCCACCGACTGGCTAACCACTCGCCGCAGGTCTCTAGCCGTTAAGAGAGAGCGTTAGCGTTGAAGAGGGCAGCACCGATGAGAGTCGCATCAATGCGGAAATCAACGGGCAAGGAAGGGGTCCCATTTCTCGGGTTCTTGCCGTTTCTCATGTTTTTTTCTTCATCCCGGCACCACTGACCACCTCTAATTCTGGTAGGCTGCATTCTAATCGTGAACTTCTCCTTCAAGCTTGTGATCGATCATAGTTAGCGGTGTGTTTCACTCCTCCTTGTTCCTTGTCACTTGATAACCGAAGCTATTTCGGCAAATAACATCGAAGAAAAGGTTGTCACGAATGGGACAAAATTTCAAATTCCACCGTTTTCACGACCTTCTTCAGAAGGAGGAAATGAGC